TCGGCGTATGGCATAGTGTTTTTATCAATGAATTTTGATTTCCTCTATTCACACACATATGTATACATATAAATATATATTATGAATTAACAAAATCTTGATTAGCTGTTTGTCTGTACGCTCAAATCTAATGCTATAATTTTTCTCATAGCTTCCTTCCACCCACTTTCTAATGCGTAAACCCAAAACCAAATTCACCTCTCCCCATTTCTTTAATCCCCAATTCATTTGCGTATAAATATAAACTAGTCTTCTTCATCTTCTTCCCCAAACCCATAACTCTACTAAAACCTGCTACAATTCACCAATCAATGGCTTCCTCTTCTCTGGCATTAATCTCTCCCAGAAAGCTGCGATCAGATCTCTACTCCTACTCCCACCAGGACGACTCCAACACAACTACCCCTCTGGTAATTTCAGTTCTGGCTTCACTGATGGAGAGAAGCATGGCACGAAATGCCAGGATCGCCAAGAACTCTAACTGGGCATTTTCTAAAGATGCCAGAACTCAAGTTTTCGATTGCTATGAACCACCAGACATGAGCATTCAATCGTATCTCGAGAGAATTTTCCGATACACTCGAGCAGGTCCATCGGTTTATGTCGTCGCCTATGTTTATATTGATCGGTTTTGCCAGGGAAACCCTGGTTTTAGAATCAACCCTAGAAATGTTCATAGACTTCTCATCACCACCATCATGCTGGCATCCAAATATGTCGAAGATATGTAAGTATTTATCTTGTTATTGAGCATTTTAGAACTTATAGTTACTTCATAGAAAATTTACTTAGTGGGTTTGTTGATTTTGATTGCAGGAATTACAGAAACTCGTATTTTGCTCGAGTGGGGGGTTTAAGGACGGAAGAACTGAACAAGATGGAGATAGAGATGTTGTTCTTGATGGGATTTAAAATGCATGTGAATGTAAGTGTTTATGAAAGTTACTGTTGTCATCTGGAGAGGGAAGTGAGTATTGGAGGAGGATATCAGATCGAGAGGACTTTAAGATGTGCAGAAGAGATTAAATCGAGACAAATTGAAGATAGAAGATTCAATCACATCGCTCGTGTTATGTTGTAGAAGAAGAAGAAGATGATGATGATGATTATTAAAAACAAATTTGCCAGTTTTGTACAGAGCTTTTTTTTTTTTTTTTTTTCCTAATTCTGCATGTAAAAAAGAAAATGGTGGGTTAATTTTCTTGGCAAAATGCTAGGAATTTACTCACTAGAGGAATTAATATATACAGAAGAATGAAATCTTTATTACTTAACCAAATATATATTATTTTAAACAAGAAATATATATATCTGTATTTTAATATGATATATCTTGTCATATATAAATATAAATAATATTTTTAAATAAACAGTTTATGCATTATTTATTTACTGAAAGAAAAAATTAAGAAACAATAAATACAGTGACCATTTAAATTATTTGTTTCTGACATTGTCAATTTAAAATCTGAAATAATGATTTAACATTTGGCAATTGAAGGTTTGAATTTGATGTTTGTTCACAAGTTATTATCATAAAGAACTTTGAATTTTGAATTTCAAAACAAAATGAAAATACAAGACCAAGCCGTACATCATAATTTGTTTTAAATAAATGAATAATTTGTTTTCTTTCATTCTCTAGTGCTCTTATTTAATCTTATCTTCTCTAATTCATTCGTTCTAATCGATTTAATTATGTTTTGTCAATAACTTTGCTTCTTATTTTATTATTACTTTTCTACTTAAGTTTTAAAAAATAAGATTGGTAAACTAATTTCAAGAATCTGTTCTTATTCAATCTAAAAGTGGTTATTGTGTTTGAGTGTATGTGAGAGATGACCGGTGATCCAAGATGTGGTTCTTGCTTGTATACTCAGTTTATTGTCAGGTTGAGATAAATGAGTATCAAAAGTATTGGTTAAAATATTAAATTACTTCTTTTGACATTTAACATTTGTTAATGTACAGGAATTTCAAAACAAATCAGATTTAAATCTTAAACATGTTCGTTTCGAATAAATGAATGAGAATAGATTTGTATACGGAAGTGTACCTGAATTCATAACGGAAGAAATCTGCTCGTTCCGCAGTAGATATTCTGAATCAACACGTTGATCTTTTGAAATTTTCACATTCTTTCTTTTCTGATGATAGGATGACATAATAAAAAAAACCATAACGTATGATTTGGAGACTATACCTGTCTATTTATATTCTTAAATTTTCATTATTTTTAATTTTATCAATCACAAAATTAGAAATTATATTTTTGATCTCTGCATATAAAATAAAGTTTACATTTTAATTTAATGCATTAAAGTCCAAAATACTTTTAATTTTATCAGATCACTTAAATGAACCAATTAAATTTGATAACTTTTTATACACAATAAACCTACATAAAACCCACACGGTTGATCAAAACCCAACAGTTAAAATTTAGTTCTTAATTTTTTTTTTTACAATTTGGTAAATGAAATTTTATGTTA